TAAAAATAAAGTCTACTTAAAAGAAAAAAAAAGACAAAAAGGAGAGAGAGTGCTCACCAGTACCTAACCAAGTACCTAGCACCGAGTAGACACTCCATAACTGTTTGTTGAGTAAGGGGAAGAGCACTTGAGTCAGTCCCTCAGTGAACTGATAGAACACAGTTCTCCTGAGTCCTGGGGCAGTCCCTTCTTGTACATCAAAGGTGGGGTGACAATATCATTTATTGTCCAAACTAGGATATTTGAGAATGAAATGGAGTGCCACTGATAAAATCAAAACCATTCCAGAGATAACCAGAAATTACAAATTGGGAGTACATGAGCCATATCTTGCATCCAAAATTATTTTGTTTGATCACTCATATTGATGCCCCACACAATATTCTTTACAATTTCAATCAGCTGTCTGCATTAAACACTGTGGAAACATTGCATAAAATGTGCATTTCTGGGTTGCAGATGTAACTCAGTGTCAAAGAACTCATCTAATATGCATGAGACCTTGGGTTGGAGCCCCTCCCCCGCCCCAAAAAAGGAAATTTCTGATTTCTCTTAGACAATGGAAATATCTGGTCATACTGGGCCCACATTCCTACATAGTAGTGAATGGCTGGAGCTGAGTTGTAGCTGCCTGCTTTACAAGCATGTACATTTCTGTTTGCCTCAGACCCCTCCATTCCTCTTTGTATATCTCACTCAAGGCCAAGTGTGATTACCATCTCACAGTTTGGGTTTTCTTTTTTTTTTTTTTCGGTGCATCATAATTATACATAATAGTGGAAACCATTATGCCATATTGATACAGGCATATAATATAATCTGCTCAATCTCAGTTCCCTCTACCTTCCTGTTCCTTCCCCTTCTCTCTCCATCCCTTGCCATCCTCCTCCCTACTCTGATCCATTTTCTCTACTCTACTATCCCTCTTCTTTCGTAGTAGAATTGAGGAAAAAGGAAAATATTTCTTATACTCAGGATGACTCAAATTAGAAAAATGAAGAAAGCAACAAGAGGGCTTCATATGTGTTGCCCCAATCTCCTTTACACACATCCAGTCTTGGCCTCTTGAGGCATTTGGGATTTCCCCCTCTGGTCTGAACTCCATGTATCCCTCAGGCCCCAGACTGTGTTGGCTGAATTTTCTCAGGCTGCCACCCACTGCTGGAAAAGCTAGACATGAAAGGGAGACAATGGGCATTATTTAAGCTTACATTATATTGTTACCCAAATTTAACATTGCTCATCATCAACTTTTGGAGGAAATTATTTCTGTTGTTTTTCTTAATTGTCTCCAAATGTAACTGGATAGCAAGTCAGGGAAGCAGAGAATACAGCACCCACCTTTCCTCTCTGTGGACACATGACATTGGAACATTGTGATGTAGTTTTTGTCCACCCATGCATTCACTCATTCCTTCATGCTCTGACTAGGCTTCAGATGGAGGGACCCCTCACTTCAGCACCAGGATCCCCAGTGGTATGACCTCAGCAGGAGCAACCAAGCAAGCAATGACATGAGACAGGAACATATGGATGGAGCATGTCTGTTTAAACAAAGGAGTTGGACTGCATTCATAAGTGGTCAGGAGCTCCTGAAGAAAGGAGAGGGGTGTGATCACAGGTAGAAATTACTGGGAGACAACTCCAGAAACAGGAGGACTACTGAAAAGCTGTTGAAGTGACCCAAGTAATATATGTGACTAAGGAAGAGACAGTGGAATAGAAAAGAAGAAACAGATTTGAGAGAAATCTTGAGATTAGGCTTGGTAACTCATAAGACATGGAGGAAGCATGAACCAAAAGATGAAGAAACAAAGATTATTCAGAGATTTTTTGAGTTTAGTAGTTTAAAACACCAAAAACATGATCCAAACAAGGGAAAAATGCTAAATTAGATCTCATCAAAACATCTTTTTCAAAAAACTTATCTTTTGCTTTACAAAAGACTTAATAGAATAAAAAGATAAGTTATGTAGTGAGATAAAATATTTACAAATCATATGTCCAATAACAGATTTGTATCTAAAACAAAGAATTCTCCAAAATATGGGTAAATGCTATGGGTGCAGCTCAGTAGTAGAGTGCTTGCCTAGCATGGGAGAGGCCCTGGGTTGCATGCTCCAGCATTGCAAAAAAGGAGAAGAGGATTAATGATACCCCTACCTGAAAATTTTAAAAAGGCCGGGTGTGGTGGCACACACCTGTATTACAAGCAACTCGGGAGGCTGAGGCAGGAGGATCGTGAATTCAAAGCCAGCCTCAGCAATGGCAAGGCACTAAGCAACTCAGTGTGACCCTGTCTTTAAATAAAATACAAAATAGAGCCATGGATGTGGCTCAGTAGTTGAGTGCCCGGTACCAAACAAACAAACAAACAACAACAACAACAACAACAAAAAACTGAAAAAGTTCCCACCAGCTCAGGAGGCTGAGGCAGGAGAATTTCAAGTTCAGAGCCAGCCTTAGTAACTTAGCAAAACCCTAAGCAACTCAGTGAGACTCTGTCTCTAAATAAAATATAAAAAAGGGGCTGGGATTGTGGCTCAGTTGTAGAGCACTCCCCTAGCATGGGCAGGACCCGGGTTCAATCCCCAGCACCACATAAAAATAGAAGGCATTGTGTTGTGTCCATCTACACCTAAAAAATAAATATTAAAAATGGGGGGCTGGGGAAAAAAAGGGCTGGGGATATGGCTCAGCAGTTAAACAACTAACTCTGGGTTTAATCCCTGGTACAAAAAAAAAGTTTAAAAATTGAGAAGATGCAGGGGGCATGGGATGAGTAGAGAAACTTTAGATTGGGCAAAGGTATGGGTGGGGGGAGGGGTATGGGAGTAGGAAAGATGGTGGAATGAGATACACATAATTACTCTAGGTACATGCATGATTGCATGAATAGTGTGACCCTACTTCATGTACAGAGAACTGAAAAATTATGCTCCATTTGTGTACCATGAATCAAAGAGCATTCTGCTGTCATGTATAACTGATTAGAACAAATGAATTTTTTAAAAGTGATAAAAGAGCTAATTAACATATAATATTATGTAACATAATAAATCCCATGTGTTACTGGTCTCCTTCCATGAGCAAATATTTGTTTTTGTTTTCATAGACTTTATTGTTGGGAATAATTTCAGATTTACTGAAAAATTGTAAGGATAGTACAGAGAGTTCCCATGTGCCTCACACTCAGTTTTGCTCACCTTTGACATTTTATGTTCCTATGATATGTTACATTTAAAGATCCAATTTGATACATTATGAACTATCCCTTATTCAGGCTTCTTTTAACTGCTCCAGGATCCCATCCAGGATACCACATTTTCTTTAGGTCTTATGTCTCCTTTGGCTCCTCTAGGCTGTAGTAATTTCTCAGACTTTCCTTGTTTTTAATAACCTCTAAAATTGTGAGGAGTGCTGGTCAAGTAAGTAAATTTGTAGGATGCCTCTCTTTTGGAATTTGGTTTTCATCATAATTAGACTGGGGCTATGGGTTTAGAAAGGAAACCCGCTTAAGAAAAGGGCCATTTTCACCCCCATTGTAGCTGGAATACCTACTATCAACATGGAGCCTTGATCACTGGCTGAAGTAGTGTTTATCAGATTTCTCCACTGTAAAGTTATTCTTTCTCCTTGTTTTCCATACTGTAAGGAAGTCTCTATGCAGAGTGCATAATAAAGAATTGAGAGTTAGGCTCCCCCTCTTTGAAGATAGAGCATCAAATAAGTTATTGGAAATTCTTCTGCACTGGAGATTTGCCTCCAATAATTTTTGAAAAATTTTGATGAAGTCTAATTTATCAAATTATTTCTTATGATTATTGTTTGGGGGGTACTAAGAAAACTTTGCCCAACCCTTGTTTTCTTTTTGCTTGACTATATTTTCAGATCTTTTTCTAATAAGGATGCATTGCTTTGTAAGAATTAATAGCAAGTTTTAAATATTTAATAAAAAGATCCATGCATGGATCTTTAATAAAGTGACGCATGCCAGTAATTCCAGCTACTTGGGAGGCTGAGACTGGAAGATCATAAGATCCAAGCCAGTGTGAGCAAAAAAAAAAGATTTGCACATACAGAAAGTCAATTTGCTATATATTAATTTAAAAATTAGATAGGCAAGTGGTTTATTTCTGATTATGTGTCCTTTTTCCTCCTTTTTTTCCACTTATCCATCCACTCAGTCATTTACTGAGCACCTACTATGTATGAGGCATTGTGCTAGACTTTGGTGATCAACAAAAAGTAAGGCAACCCAGATCCCAGTCCTCATGGAATATTCTTCCTGTTTCAGAGGAGAAGTGATCAGTAGGGTTTGGAGCCCGATGATCTGCTTGGGGAAATGGGCCAGGGAAAGACTAGCAAGGGACAAAGTGAGCAAAACTTTCCTTCCTAGAGCCTGATCCTGTAGGCTTGCAAATGATCACTTTTTAGAAAAGGCTCTTAGGCTTGAGGGCAGTGGAAGGCTCCCACTCCATATTTCAGGGGTATTCACAAGAGGAACTACTAGGAGGGATGTACCCTGCTAAGGGAGGAAGAAAGGCTAGGGGTAGAAGGAGATTTGATTCAGTTAATTGTAAACTCTGAAATGTATAACATGAATGTGCATTTGTGTTTGTGTGTGTGTATGTCTTAAAACAACCATTTGTTTAGTTCATGACTCTGTGGACTGGCATTTGAACTGGGCTCAGCTGAGTGGTTCTTCTGGTTTAGTCTGGATCCACCCAGCATCTGAAGTCACCTGATTATCAAAAACCTCACTTGGAATTCATGTAATTGACTGATAGTTGCTGGGATCATAAGGGTATCTGGGCCCTTTGCTACACATCTTCCAGCAGGCTGGCCTGTACTTGTTCACTTGGTAGGATCACAAGGTTCCCAAGAGCAGCAAGAGAGCAAGCCCCATAATGCAAAACTGTTCTTCTTCACAGCTTATTGAGGTGTATCATTCACATACATTACCTGAACTTGAATTTTGTTTTCTGTCCTGTTTGCAGGGAATCTGAAGCATGTGGTCTAGTTGACAAAAAGAGATCACATTTCCAGCGCTGAGCAGCAGTGCCTGTAATGAAGACAGCGTGTTTATTCGAGCAGTTTGTGGAATTTGTGACTGCAGGGGAAATTTGGATGAAATTACTTCCTGAAAATTTCCAAGGGGCACCAAGTAGCAATGGGCCTCCTGGGGTGAGAAGGCAGGCACCCCAGAGTCCTCAACTAGCTTAGGGGAAGAGGAAGATAGACAACATTTAATGTATTTTTTAAAAACACACAAATGCAGTTTTTAATCTTTGAAAATTATTTTTAAGTGAGTTGGGGAAGGGGTGTTTTTATTTTCTTAAAGGAACAGATCAGAAGCTGGAGGAAAGTGTGGAGCTCTGGTCACCAGTTTGTTGACGGGAACTGCTGACAGGCAGGGTTTGGATCTCAGGACCATCCAGATGGAGCCCCAGGGAAGGGAGGAAACAATCAGTAAACTGGGTGGTGGGGTGGAGTCCACTACTGTTGTTTTAGGATTCACTATCTATTTTGTTTTTTTAATAAAATCTTTGAAAACCTACCTCCTTGCCCCATTGTTCTCATTGTTAACTGACATTGTTAACTGACACTTCACCCTTTCTTCCTTGAACTTTTCCCCTCACCAAAGAGGCAAGAACAGCCCTATTGCTTCCAAGCTCTGCTCTGGTTCTGCTTTAGAAGCTCACCCTGAGTGCTGGACCCTGCTGGGGAAATAGTGAGTCTCCACCACAAGCCCTGAGGGCAGAAGGCCAAGTTCTGTCTTGTGCTGGGACCTGATCATGGTGGAGAAAGCATGGAGATGCAGGCATTTCAACCAAGGAGAAAGTCTTGCTAGCACCTTAGGGAGGAATTGCCGCTGCCCAGGAAGGATTTAGGAATGGGAAAGATAGGTTGGCATGTCAGGTGTAAGTGGGGCATTCCCATGGATAGGGAAAATACTTCCTAGCAAAGTATAGACAGTACATGGGATGAAAGGGGTCTATGGGTATAATATGTTGTTGTTACCCTAAGCTCTCAGGAGATGGCCAGATGGCAAAATAGGAATAGGGAATAATGTGAAAGATGATGAAAAGAAAGGGATAACCACACAGCATGAATTTTTTTTTCTTTTGTCTCTCTCTTTTTTTTTTTTTTTTAAGTATTGGCAATTGAATCCCAGGGCCTTGCACACGTTAGGCTAACATCATTCCACCACTATGTTACACCAACAACAACCCTCCCCCCACCTTTATTTTGAGACAGAAAATGAAATTCAATCACTAAATTCTAGGTTGACCTCAAACTTGCCATCCTCCTGCCTCAGCCTCCTGAGTAGCTGGGATTACAGGTGTGCACCAGTACACCGGGTAAAACATGATCATATAATTTGATTTACCAAGTATTTATGAAACTCTTACAACTGCTGGGACTGGGATAGGAGACAAGGACACAACCCTATCCCGGTCATATAGGAATTCCCAGACAAAGCAAAGAAGGAGGAAAAAGAAGCAGATCCTGGGTTGTTTCAAGCTTTCTCCAATACAAATGCAGTGCTGGGGAGAGCACTGATGAGGGAGCATCTTCCCCTGTCAGAAAAGCATCTGGGAGCATTTTTAAGGGGACAATGTACAAGCCGGACCTTCGAGAGTGAGTTGTATTTCTCCAGGCTTCCAAGAGGGGGAAGGGCATTCCACAGAAGGTAGTGGAAAAACCCTTCAATGTTGTTCTGGGATGGAAATAGCCAAGCTTTTATTAAACAGCATGGGATGTTTAATACCAGTCATTTCAAATGGCGACTATTCTGATTTTACACTCTCCACTTAAGGGCAGTTTGACTTATACACAAAAAGAAGAGGGATTTTAAAGAATAGAACTGTGAGGAGGTGCGGTGCAGGGCTAGGGAAAGCCAGGGAAGCTAGCGAGAGGGTGTTCTCAAAGTGCCATCCTGTAAGAGACCACCCTCCAATGTTTGCCCTCTCAAAGGCTTGCTTAGCCCAGTTTCAACTTCTTATCACAGTCCTCTCATATTACACCCAAAGTGGTCACCCAAATCCCTGTGAAGGCCTCAGCCCTGAGAGGAAGCCACCTGGTAAAGAACAATGAGAAATTTGGTGCCCCATGTTCTTTTCAGTGGGAATGGATTGGGGCAAGGAATGTGGCAGAAAGTGCCAGCGCACCAGGGGAGCACTTTGTCACCCAGCAGCAATGATGCCTTCTCCTGACCAGGCTGACCCTACTTGTTTGACCCATACTCTGACCTCAGCTTTGCCCAAATGAGAATAGAACAAGCTGCGGAACTTGTCCACTGCTAGGCCTCTGGAGGATGGGCCTGTTCCTCCTCAGAGAGGGCATCACCTCAATGGCCTTCCAGATTTTTTTGGAGATGTGGGGGACTAAACCCAGGAAATTACACATGATAAGCAAGAGCTCTACCACTGGGATACATCCCCAGAATTTTTATTTTATTTGGAGACAAAATATCACTTAATTGCCAAGTTTGGCCTCAAACTTTTGATTCTCCTCCCTCAGCCTCCTGCTAAGATTGTTCTTCTACTTTTGATTCCTGTAGGAAATGTTGGGCTGGGGGTGGAGTTCAATGATAGAAAGATTGCACAAGGCCCTAGGCAATACAAAAGAGAAGGGAAGGAAAGGGTGAAAGGAGGGGTAAGGGAGAGGAGGAGACGGGAGGAAAGGCAAGAAAGGGAAGAAAGCAAGACTAAAAAAAATCCCACAGATAAAACTAGAAATAATTTTAAATACTTACAAATTGAAACTGAAATACCCAAAGATAAGCACGGCATCCACAAAACTGGCAAAATAGATAAAGAGTTGCTCTGCCTAGAATTATCATAAATGCACAAGAGGGGAAAATAAAGACTGAAAGGAAATATAACAAAATATTAAGTGAGTTGGGCTGTTGTGGAGAAGGAAGGCAAAGGATGGTTTATTTTTCTTTTTTTTTCTATTTTTTAATATTTCTCAATTTTTTCTCTAGTGAGCACATTTTACTTTTTATAATTTAAAATAGGTGCTGGGGCTATATAGCTCAGTGGTAAAGCACTTGCCTATCATCTGTGAGGCCTTAAGTTTGATACCCAGCAGGGGGGAAAAAAGGTAATATATAAACTTTTAAAAAAGAAAAAAAAAGATTGATCTATAGAGACAGTTACAGATCAAAGTCTGTTCAAGACACCTACTGAGGAAGACTTTGTGCTCAGGCCCCAGGGCAGTTCTAATTGCCTAGAGGCTCTGAGCTGGTTTGGTCAGCTTGGAGTCCTCATGATATACAAATCACTAAGCCAGAGAAGTTCTTTTGGTTAAATTGGCTTGAGGGCAAGGCAAGTTTGTACCCAGTGTGAGGCTGTCTCTTCAGGAAACAGCTGCCCATTCACCTACCCACTCCCACTCCTTGAGCTCACAAAGAACCAGCCATCTTAACTGTAATAACAATAGCAAGGTAAACATTGCAATATGCTCCGTTTTACAGATATCTTTCTCCAAAAGTATGTCAATACCTAGCTATTTGGTGGGTATTATCATCCCCTCTTAGAGATGAGAAAATTGAGGCTACAAACTATGGATTAACCTGCCCAGTTCTAGGTAGCAGAGCACAAAAGCAAACTAGCTGGATCTGCAAATCTCCTTACTTTTTCCACTGCCCCACACTGGTACCACTAGAATATTTTTAAACTGTGACTTTGGAGTAAACAACTTTTTCATTGCTTCAAAGTCCAAGCTGGACCAAGCCACATACTACTCCCAAGCTCTCTCCCAACCTCCACAACGTTAATTAATTGTGTGCTTTTCAGCATGTTGCTTGGCCTTTCTGGGTCTGTTTTCTTATGCATAAAATGGGACAAATAATTCCTATACCTCATGGGTTGTTGTGAATGGTTGATGACTTTTCAAAGATGGAAAGACTTGGAAAAGAGCCTCAAGTAGTGTGTTCAGGAGGGGCCTGCCATGAAAATTGGTTCAGGAAGGTTTATCCCTAAGAAGCACCCAGTGCTTCTAAGAGATCCTCAGGCCTCCACTGTCTCTGGGGTACTCACAGGGCCAGAGAAACCAAGAAAAATCTTTAGGCTCTGTCTACAACTTGAGGGTTAAGAAAATCAACATCTTAAAAAAGTATATGAGGGGGCTGGGGTTGTGGCTCAGTGGCAGAGTACTTACCTAGCACGTGTAAGGCACTGGGTTTGATCTTAAGCACCACATATAAATAAATAAAATAAAGTTATAAAAAAGTATATGCGTGTGTGTATCTATATATATTGGATATGCATGTATTTGCATAAAACATCTTTGGAAAGATACACAAGAAACTGGAACACCTTAGTTGCCTCCAGGCAGGAGAACCAGGTGGCAAGTGGCAGGGGAGTGAGGGAGACTTGCACTGTGTTCTTTTTTGTACCTTTTGATTTTTGAACCTTGTGAATGCATTACCTGGTCCTCAAAAATGTAAATAAATAAAATTTAAAAATAAAAAAAAGCCAACGGAAAATTCCCAAGTCAGTTTACCTTTGGGGAGGGTGGAGCTGCTTCTGCTTCAGTTATTGTGAGCTGTTACAGAGGGAGCAGTATATTCCCAATTCTATATTTAAGACTCTTTCTGAGGCAGAAAGACTTCTTTATTAGAAAATCAAATATTGTCATTCAAGGGAAAAAAAGGAAGAAGGAGGAAGAGGAAGAAGAGGAGAAAAAGGTGGAGGATTTTGACATCTCTAAGCCCCTGCCCAGAAAGTTCTATAGTGACTCCTCTACTGCAATTGTCAAGGGCAGATTCCCAAACCTACTCAGAGAAGGACCCAGAGCTGACCAGTAAAGTCTTACATGCAACATGCTCACTTCCACCTCACATTGCCTGGGGTTAAGCCCCTTCTCTGTCACTCACTGTGATAGGCTCACAGCTTCAGCCTCTTCATCTATCAAATGGGGATAATACCTGGACCTACCTCATAGAGTAGTTGTGAGGGGCACCAGAAATAATAGAAAAAGCACATGGGAGACTGCATGTTAGGTATCAGTAGTAGACACTGTTCCACTGTACCCCAGTACCTGGCACCTTAGTAGTGCTCAGTACATACTTAATGTAATGTTAGAAATATGTAATAAAACATAGTTATATATTGTAGGTATTATGGAACAGGGAATCCAGACTGGGGCAACCATGAAGGTTATGAGTCTTGAGGTGAGTATGGGGAAAGAACATTTCAGGCAAAGGGACTGCATGAATGAAAGCAAAAGTTTCCAGAAATAGGGAAACTCTAAGCAGTTCAGTGTTGGTGGAACACAGAATATAAGATAGCATTCAAGCAAACCAATTGCAAAAAGATGTTTTTAAAACAATGAGGGAAATTTGGACATGTACTAGGTGATATTAAGAAATTATCAGGGCTGGGTTCATAGCTCTGTGGTAGAGCCCTTGCCTAGCACATGTGAGGCACTGGGTTCAATCCCCAGCAGAACATAAAAATAAATTAAACAAAGATATTATGTCCATTTACAACTTAAAAATATTATTTTTATTTGTTTTTATTTTTTATGTGGTACTGAGAATCAAAC